TTCTACTTCTACTTCTACTTCTACTTCTACTTCTACTACTACTACTACTACTACTACTTCTACTACCACTACCACTACTACTACTACTTCTACTTCTACTTCTACTTCTACTTCTACTTCTACTTCCACTACTACTGCTGCTGCTGCTGCTGCTACTACTACTACTACTACTACTAGTACTAGTAGCTTTGGTGCTGCTACTACTGCTGCTGATGCTGCTACTACTACTACTACTGCTACTACTACTACTGCTGCTACTACTACTACTACTACTACTACTACTGCCACCACTACTACAACGACGACGACTACTGCTACTACTCGTGCATATGACTTTAAGCAATGCGCACGTGCTCAGGGGCATATGACGGGTCTCCAAGAGACTCGAAGGCAATGCAATGGGAGCTTATGGACTGGCAAATGTGTGGAACAACAACTAGCTCCTTGATGAAAGCGGGTTTCAGAAGCTACAGGCCTTGCAGAACCCTGTTAGGCTTCCATGAAGAACGAAGCGAGATCCCATGCACTCTTTCGCCATTTTCTCAGATCTGCTAGTGCCACACTCTGGCACACGGGTATGAGCGCACCCTCCTGCTGAGCTTCGGCTGATGTCACTTCATGCACACCAAGGAAGATCGGAGGTACTGTGGTACCTATGGGAGTGGATCGGCAGCTCCAAATGCCTTGAGAGATGTTTCCTGACACTGTCCCTCCTTTGAGGCTCACAGGGCCGGCTGGCTTACGCTTGCCTGTATGCTTTTCGCGCTGCCAGCTGAGAACCAGCGACCCATCAGTCGCCGAAAGCACGAAGTCGTGGATACCATCAAAGAGAAACACGACGTCAAGCAGCTGGTAGGTCTTGAGGCTGCCTTGCGATGTCGCGTGCTGAGGCCCTTCACATGTACTTCCCTTATGTTTGATGTTGGCTTGTGACGCAACTGCGCACGGTCAGGCTGGTCCTGATGAATGACTCCTGCTTCGAAACCGCGATAGATCCTATCTCCGATTCTTTCGGAGGTCTTATATCAGCGCTTCTTTCAAGGAATGCCGCATGTCTTGCATTTACTTCCCTGCCTGTCAATTCCGAGAAGAAAAAACGGGTCTGCTTCCTGGCATCTTCTTGCATCATGCTGCCAGTGCCGATGGCTTCTGCGTGGAGGGTGGCAGAAAACCATGCGACCTGTCAGCCAGGATCTTTTCCAGCTCGGGGCCATACTTCTCCTTGATATACCTCAGCAATGCAAGGTTCCTCTCAAGTGGAAACAAACGAAGGCTCATGCGGCCTAGGCATCTGCGTGTTGCCGCAGATCCTTGGAGACTAGTGTTGAAATATTGTGGGCGAGATTCGGTACATACAGCTAAGGCCAGGTTGATAAATACACTACTTGATCTGAAATATCTGCCAAGCCATGCTGGACAAAAATGGGATCACCTGCCTGTGGTTTCAAATCCTTTTGCAGAACTTGCCGCAAGTCATGAGCCCTGTACTGCGACGACGTTGCAGCAACCTCAGAAGCCTTTGAGATGCTTTTTAGTTGCAACAAAATCTTGAGTGCAAGCCAATGATGCGTTCTTGTCGGCTTGCAGAAATCCATGTCTATCAGCTCGCAATCGTGAGGCAAGCCTCCCATGGTTGAAATTGGCTGTGAGGAACATCACAACATGGATGCATCCGACACGAGTTTGACGGGCTGACTGTGCGCGTGGCAAACTATGTTGCCTACCATTCTCTCCTACCATGTAGCTGCTTAAGCGGGGCCGATACGTAAGTTGTCCGAGAAACGGGCTTCTCAGCTTTAGTGGTGCGCCTATTCCATCACGGATCCGTAGCATCTCCGATCTGGACTTTGTGGCACCGTCCACATCCAAGAGATGCTCCTGGATGCAGGCCTTCACCTTAGCGGCATGCAACGTCTCGAATCTCCATTCACGGCGGCCGAACGCCGACATGCCGTTGGAACATGTCAGGTGCAGGAAGTATGCGGACACGTCACCCCGAATGTGTCCGCCACAAACGGGGTGTCTCTGCCCGACCACAAGGCTAATGCTTTGTCACAAAGCTCGAGAGCCTCGCTGAGCATGTCATGCTGCGCCTGACAGGGAAAGCTTGAAGGGCAACCATCAATGACAGAACAAAGTTGCATGAGCGCATCCAGCACTGCCTTGTTGTAGGCCAGTATGGTGATGACATACCTCGTGAAACTCTGCTAGTCTTAGCTACCGGGTTACTACCGAGTCGTCGGGCTGAAGGGTCATGTTTAAAATTTAGGGTTTTAGGATTTACGGGGATTGCGTTTACGAGTAGGAATGACCTGGGGCCTCTGCAAGAAGCTCCGCTTAACCACAGAACCAGAGACAGATACCAGCATGAAAAACACACTCTGGATGCTGCTCGCTTATCAAGTCTTGTCGTTTCGGCATCCGAAGCGGTCAAAGACACACGGTCTATGGGTACCCCCCTGATGCCAAGACGACTCTCGGCCGGGACGAGGCGGACGCCAAGCGCTTGCACGTGCAAGTATGCATGAAATTACATGCATACATATGCATACAAACTGTGTATCTCTCAGCACCAAGGTTTGCAGCCTTTAAGTCTTGGACCGTCTTGGACTCCTGCCTTCTGCCGTGCCTTGCATTCCTTGGGCCGAGAACTGTTAGGACTCCCAGTCGGAGTTCACCAGAGCAGCGAATTCTGTCGATCTTCTCTAGGAGAAGGAATGACGCGAGACTAGACTCATCGAAAAACCGTAGGAAGCGTAGTCTCGACTGAATGAACCCTCCCAGTCTGTAGCCGAAGCGCATGCCCCATGTGCGGGACTCAAGTTGGAGCTCTTCGAATAGCTGTGCTTGTGCCAGGCAAGTCTCCTTTCAGGGCAGGAATGCTTCTGCGGGACGCATGTTGAAAACAGGCTTCCAATGTCCAATGCACCTGCAAACGGAAACTAGTGTGCAGCCTGCTGTCGAGCTGTGTGCCTCAGCTTGTCTGTCTTTCTGGCTTAGTGAGTGTTTGTCCTTATGCGCGTGCTGATCATTTCCTTTCCTTTCGCATCCTATCCAAATGCATTTCTTTCATCACCGAAATCCAAAAACACGCCGGAAAAAAAGATCGCTTTGATCCCCCTCTCCGGCCCATGGGAAAGAAGGAGAGACCTTGGAGCCCTAGGCCTCTCCTGGTCCAAGGGCTGCTGCACCACGAGCATTGGGCCGATACTTGCGCAGGAGACGGGCAGCGAGTGAGTACGACGGAGCTCGACCACCTGACAGATTTAGGGTTCAGGGTTTATATGTGTGTGTGTGTGCTTTTTATCTCTTTTTTTTTTGGGGGGGGGGGGGAGGGGNNGGGTTTAGGGTTTGGGTTTAGCGTTTGGTGTTTAGGGTTTGGGGTTTAGGGTTAAAGATGAGATGTCAGATTATGCTGACTCTCGTTATAGCAGTACGTACAACTTTGTATAGTTCTATTGTGGGCCTTAGTGCAAAGCTGGCGCCTTTCGGTAGTAGTCGGTTGCTGCCCGGATATCTCCCACATCCGCATAAGCAAAAGCACTGTCCAGCAGCAGTGGTAGCTCGTGCTTTGGATGACCACTGCCATGCAGTCGAAAGAGCCGATCGGCCTCTGTGAGGTGACCTAAGTTGAACTTTCACGGACCGCTGTATGTGTATAGTCACATACATCCATGATGCATATGATATGTTTGTGGTATTACACTATACTCAAACATGGCATCCTCGCCAGGCGGCCGAGGGCAGTTGCAGAGTCGCCTTGATACAAGGCCAAAGCGCCGAGAGAAGTGAAAACGTTAATGGCCTGAGCAGACATGAAAAGTACATTACAGGATGAAGCTGGGTAGAACTAAGAGAATGCCAGCGCTGCTCTGCAGACTGCGAAGACTTTCTGGTCAACCCGCTCTAGCTTCCAAACTGCTCTTACTGCCAGCGGGGCCTGTGCAGGCGCGGCGCTGGCCATACTCTTCTGTGCATCTTGCCTCGAAATCACGACTGTTCAAATCAAGAAGAAAATGTGCGCCCACAGCTGGGGAAAGGGTGATCCGCGTCTTTTTTTTTGGTTATCTGCGTCTTTATTTTTTGGGTTAT